TACGCTGACCCCAGCACAAGGACTACCGTATCCCCCCTTATCCAGGAGCGATACATTCCCAGACCTCCAATGAATGCCTGAAACCACAGATAGTACTAAATCCTAGAGGTACCATTTTTTTTGCTAGGCATACATATTGTGACACATTTTAATTTTTAAATTAGGCATACTAAGAGATTAACAACAAGGACTAATAATAAAATAGGACAATTATAACAACAGGCTGTAATAGAAGTTATGTACATGGCGTTGGGGCCTTTATTAAAATCAGGCTTATTTGGAACACAAGCCCTGTGTACTGTGACAACCGATCTGATAACTGAGACCGCTACTAAGTAGGGGTGGGTAGTTATAAAGCCTGGATAAGGCAGACAAAGGGATCACTCGTGTTCTAAGAGGGATGGAGCAGGATGGTGTGAGATTTCATCCTGTTACTCAGAACAGTGTGCGACTTAAAATGTATAAATTGTTTATTTCTGGAATTTCCCATTTAATATTTTACACCACAGTTGACTAAAACCATGGAAAGAGAAACTGCGGATAAGGAGAGGCTACTGTACTCCACACCACACCCCAACACAGCTTAAAATTGAGCCTTTGAATTATCAAGCTAATCTTATTAATTGCCGACTAGAACAAAATTCGACATTTTTCAAAGGAAGATAGCAAAGTCCAGACACTCAACAATACTGCATCCACAACAGGCAGCATAGGATAAAAAAAGGATGCCATCAGGTGGAGCAGGAAAACGAGAATAATATTCAACAGGAAAAAACCACAAAACAGTCAACAGAAACACACAAAAATGACAGCAACAATAGAATCTGCAGACAAGGACCTTAACACAGCTATTATAAACATGCTCCAAGATTTAAAGGATAACATGAACATAATGAAGAAAGAAATGATGTCAAACAGAACCAAGCGGAAATTACAGAGATAAAAAAATATGATAGCTGAGATGAAAAATTCACTTAATGGATATTTCCAATGAAACAAAGTAAGACACTGTAGAAGAAAAGATCAGCAAACCTGAGAACAGGGCACTTGAAACAATCCAAATAGAAACACAGGGAAAACAAGGCTGAAACACTGAACACAGCTTCAACTGATCTGTAAACATCGTAAAAAAAATGTAACATACATGTCAATAGTCTCAACAGGAGGCAAAAGAGAAATTGGGGAAGAAAAATATTTATGGAAATACTGACTGAAAATTTTCCTTGATGAAAAATATAAACCCACTGATCCAAAAAGCTCAACAAACCCCAAAGAAGATGAAGCCAAAGAATACTATATATCCATAATCAAATTACTAAAGCCAGTATTATAGAGAAATATTTAAAATAATCCACAGAAAAAAGATACATCAAGTATAGAATAACAACCAGAATAACCTTTGACTTCTCACAAGACACAACATAAGCAAAGAAGATAAAATAATGACATTCTTAAAGTGCTAAAAAAAATTTCTCAACCCAGAATTTCATATCCAGAGAAGATGTCCTTCAAAGGGTAAAATAAAAACATCTTCAGTTAAGAAAATCTTTCACCAACAGACCTACAATGTAAGAAATGTTCAAGGAAGTTCTTCAGGGAATAAAGGAAAAGGATAATAGAGGAAATTCAGATTTACATAAAGAAAAGTACAGAAAATGGTAAATATGTAATAAATATAAAAGGCATTTTCTCTCATTTCTTAATTACTTTAACACAGGATTGACTGTTTAAAGCAAAAAATAATTGTTGGTTTTATAACTTATTTAGACTATGTATGATATGTATGTTAACACTTATACGTATGATGTAAGAATAGCACAAAGGACAGGAGGGTAGTAAATGGAAGTATACTGTGATAAGGTTCTCACATAACGTATAATATGTTATGATATAAAGTCATGGTAGATTATAATACATTAAAGATATATATTATAAACCACAAAGTAACCACTAAAGGAAAAGTAGTATAGGTGGAAAGCTAACAGAGGAAAATTTTTAAATTCTTGATTAATATTAAAGAAGGCAAGACAAAAAAAATGAATAATTAGAAGAAATGAAACAAACAGAAATACAACAAGATAAAAAACTTAAATCTAACCATATCAAAATAATATATCAAATGTAAATGGGTTAAACACTTCATTTAAAGGCAGGGATTGTCAGGCTGGATAAAGGAGTGAGAACCAACTACTAGTATATGTATGCACTTAAAACACACATAAGTAAAAAGCAAAGGATGAAAAGAGATATACCATGCAAACACTAATCTTGTAGTGGCTATATTAATAGCAAATAAAGTAGATTTCAGACAATGGGTATTACCAGATATAAAGAAGGGCATTGAACAATTTTAAAAGGGTCAATTCATCATGACATAATGATCCCAAGTGTGTGCACTTAAAAACAAATTTCAAAATATATGCATCAAAACCTGACAGAACTAAAGGGAGGAACAACATATCTAGAATTAAAGTTGTAGATTTTAACTCTCCTCTCTCGGTATTTGGCAGAACAAGCATATGTTTTTGAAAACCCTGGAAAGGTGTAGAGATTTAAACAATATTATCAATCACTGTAATCTAATGACACGCCATGCAGGAAATACTCTTTCCAACTCATTCTGTAAGGCCAGTATTACTCTGATACCCAAATTAGACAAGAAATTACATGAAAAGAAAAGTACACTGCTGGTTGGAATGTAACATGGCATAATCGCTCTGAAAAACAATTTGGCTGTTTCTTAAAAGAAAGGCCAGTATTACTCTGATACCCAAATTAGACAAGAACATTACATGAAAAGAAAAGTACACTGCTGGTTGGAACGTAACATGGCATAATCGCTTTGAAAAACAATTTGGCTGTTTCTTAAAAGTTAAACATACACCTACTACTAGTATATGATCCAGCCATTCCACTCCCAGATATTTACCCAAGAGAAATGAAAGCATTTGTCCATACAAAGATGTGTACAGAAATGTTCACAGCAGCTTTATTTGTATTAGCTCTAAACTGGAACAACCCATGTGTCCATCCAAACTAAATAAAAAAAATTGTGGTATCTATACAGTAGGTCCTGAAATAATGTAACTTTGTTCAATGCCATTTCATTATAACATTGATGATATGCTATAGGAACTTAACTCTTGTGTCAATTAGCCCATGGTAAAACTGGTTTTGTTATACATCATTTCTCTTAAAATTACAGAACCTATTGACGACTTAAAGTGAGAACTTACTATATCTAGACAATAGAATACTACTACCCGTCAATGAAAAGGAATGAAGTACGGATACATGCAAACACGAAGAATCTTAAAACAATTCAGGTGAGTAAAAGAAGCCAGACACCCCCATACACACAATAAAAGAGTACGATTCCATATATGCAATATTCTAGAAAATGCAAAGCAATCTATGTTGACAGGAAGCAGATCAGTGCTTGCCTGTGAATGGGGAAGTGGTGATCAAGGAATTCTAGACGGGCACAAGGAAACTTTTGGGAGTGACAGATATGTTCATAATGGCTTTCCAAGGTTCAAAGCCAAACTCCACCCCTTGTTAACTCCATGACTGTATTCAACTTATTCCAGAAATTTGGGAGAACAGAAGCAGCACTGAAGGTGCTCTCCAAAGGCTGACACCGTGGTTGCAGGCTGGCCTTGCAACTAACATCTAAGTGCATTCTGGGTGGCATCCTCTCCAGGAACCAGGCAGCAGGACAGATGTCCACACACAGCTGCCAGTCCGGCCCATGGAAAGAGGGGTCCTCAGAGGGTCCAGGCCATGGAGTTCAAGCCCAGCCACAGCGACGATGACTCAGCACCAGCACCACTAGTCAAATGATGGGTCATGCCCACCAAGCGGAAACTTGGTATCCTCCCCCTCCAGCCAGGACCAGAACATGTGGTGGGAAATGGGTGGCCCATACATCCCTAGCCTCACTGGCAGGATGGGTTCCTCTCGTTGGGCCACCTGGTCTACCTGCCTGAGGGTTTGGAGATGCCTAGAATTCAGACCCCTGGGCTGGAAAGACCTCAAGAGCTCCCACAAAGGGAAACCTGAGCCCAGAGAAGGGAAGTGACAGGCACAGGTCAGAGGCTGAGTAGGACAAGAATCCTAGCCCCGTTATGGATCTCAGGATGGGAGCTCTCGCCCATGGGAGACCCTCCACCTCTGCTGCTCTGCCCATTTAGAGATTATGGAGTGGGATCCACTTAGCTCTGTCCTAAGAAACAAAAGCAGGGGGTACTCCTACATCCACTCCTAAACATCCCGCTCGCGAAGTTGGTTAAGCCTCGCCTCCATCTGGATTTTGGTTGAGAACTGAAGGCCTCCAGCTCATATGCTAGGGATGGAAGGGTGATGGAGCCCGCTCCAACATCCAGAAGTGGCACTGGGGAATCGGCAGCATCAGAATGGAAGGCTGCTATGTCCCTGTGGGAAGGGCCCTGAGAACCATTTCCCTTCTGGAAGGAAAGATTGGAGGCCAGACATCGGACAGGGCCTGCCCCAGGTCACATGCAAGCCTATGAATCCACGGGGATTAACACCCAGGGCTCTGAGTCCTGGCTTAGCACTCCGGCTTCGCACCCTTCCCACCAACAAGGACAAAGAGGAGCTGTCCCGTCTAGTTGGCCATCCCTTGCCTGGGGTAGGTTCTGCATGGGTTCAGACTGGGGCTGTACCACGTGGTGCTGGCTTTGGGGCTGGGGATTCAGGAACATGATTTGGAGGTGCTTAGAAGAAGTGGGGTCAGGGCCACTGAAGGACTTGGATGAATGGTGCCCACCCTCTGAATCCACTGTTGGAAGACTCGGGCTTTCCTGGCTTAAAAGTGGGGCTTTCCCAGCTATTCGAGTAAAGTGGCCCCAGATCACACCTGGACACCTAGAGACTGGCCCAGATCAAGTTCACCTTTAGTTTCGCCCTCACTTAGTAACACCCCAGAGCCTGGGACTACAGCGTGACCCACCACTCCCCCAACAAAAAAAGGTACTCACTGATGGGGGCGTGTAAGGCCACGTGCTCCTGGTAGGGTGTGTAGTACTTGTACTGCTTTCCGCAGAATTCACAGGTGTAATTGCCGGTTTCTGTCCAAGAAGGAGATAAAAGTGTGGGAACAGGTGCCTGGCTCCCATCCAGCAACAGCAGCGTGCTCCCTCCCCCCAAATCCTCCTCATTCGGGGACAACAAACTAGAATTGGGAGCCCACTTGAGTCGACTACTATCTAAATTCAAATCCCAGCTCTGCCATTTGGAGCTGTGTGACCTTGGGCAAATCTCTTAACCTCTCTGTGCCTCAGTTTTTCTATCTGTAAAACGGGGGTAATAATAGGACCACCTTATAGGATTGCTGTGAGGATTAAATTTCTATGTCAAGTGCTTAGAACAGTACCTGGCACACGCTATTCTCCCTCATCGCTCCACCCTCAGGCCCCGGTGCTCTGGAAAAGTGTGGTGACCCAAACTGACCTCTGGTGCCCATCTCTCTACCAGCCCCTCTGCAATGGCCACGCTGGGGTCCCCTCATCTCCAGGACCTTTCCCTGCCCCCAAGCTCCCCATGCTCCCCAGCAGAAGAGGTCACTTCTTCCTCTCAGGTCCCACCAGACTTTATTTTTACCTCTCTTTTGGGTCTGCCTAACTTCTTTCTTCTTAAAAATTTCTGATGTAATATTGTTCACTGGGGGAAAATTATAAAATATTGATAAATACAAAATTTAAAAAAAAAAATAAGAGAAATTTCAATCATCTGTAATCCCCAAAACAAAGAGTAGCAGCTACCCCTTGGGTAGAACGTGCACCTTTCAACTTGCCCCAGACCCCGCCCCTCACTCCCCTTACACTGACATCATCTGTCTGGCTGCTGCAGGCCTTGAATGGGCGGCCCCGATCTATATCCTCTTTGTAACCTGGTGCATTCGATCGACAATACTTTGTGGACATCTTGCTCAATCAATAAACTTCGATCTCTACTGCACTTATTGGCTGCATGGTTCCACTGGACTTTAGAATTTGCTGCGTTGGCCTCCTACATCAGGGGACATTTAGAATGTCTCCCAAAATTTCCCCTTATATATATAAAAATAATGCTATGATCCACATACTTGTAGAAATTTTTGCACATGTGCTCATTATTTTTGCACATCATGGCAAAATAAAGATTATTGAGCATAATCTTTGCACATTACTTCCATGGGATAAATGAAGGGTATGCATTTTTAAGGCTTTTGATAACCAAAGCACCAACTACCTATCAAAAGATTGGGTCAATTTGTATCTCAATTAGAAAGATGGGAAAATGACTGTTTCCATACATGATAGCAAACATTAGATATTATTGTCTTCTTAAATTGTGACTGATAGGGGAAACGATAATGCAGTGCTGATTTTATTTTCCCCCTCTTTGAGTTGCAAGGAAATTTACTATTTTTCATGTTTAATTGCAGTTTTTCATTCATGACTTTTCTGTGTTTACCGCCAATGTTTCTATAGGTATACTTACCTTTTTTAAATCGCTAAGACTCCGTAGATTAGAATACCAACGTTTTGTTCTTTATACTACTTACAAGTATTTTTGCTCAAATTGGCTTCTTATTCTGTTTGTGGGATTTCTGTCTCAACATAGAAACTTTAAAATTTGTAGTTAAATAACTTTTGTAACTGATTCCTGAACACTGGAAAAGATCTATTTGCTATTTGCAGGATTCAAAGTTGTTAGGTCACCTGTATCCCTATGTAATCTTATTTGTCTACCTGCTCTGCCAAAGACTCACTGTGATAAATCCTCCCACTTCGTGGTGTTTCTACGTTTATTTTGTGTATTTAGATACAATGCCGTTTGATGCACAAAGGCTCAGGGATCCAAACCTTCACTGCGAACTGTGCCCTTTGTTAAGATTTCCCTGTTTTGTAGCACAGTCCTTCTCAAAGTGAGGTTCCTGGGCCAGCAGCAGCAGCACTACCTGGGAATCTGCTGCAAATTCTCAGGACTTAACCAAGACAGACTGAAAGAAAAATTCTAGGGATGGGATCCAGCAACCTGTGTTTTAACAGACCCCTTAGAAAATTCTAATGCTCGGGAACGTTTGAGAACCACAGTTTTATTAGTTTGCCTGGCATTAACGTTACTAATTCTTGGTAATTACTTTGTCAGATTCTCCTTTCAACATGTTTGCATGTGCCTAGAGACATGTCCCTGAATTTCCCTGTGCTTTCATTCATTAAACAGATACTGTGCTAAATGCCGGCACAAAAATGTTGAGCAAAAAGTCATGGTTCCTGCCTTCAAGGAGCTTACAGTCTGGAAAAGGAGACAGAAAAGTCAAATGATCACGCAAATTTAAAACTGCAACGATGGCGGTGGGTGCTCTTAAAGGCGACATTCAGTGCTATGAAAATTCTAATCAGGAAATCAATTTAGGAGTTTCTTGAGAAAGAGAAAAGATAATGAATTAACTAGGCATATCTCTAATAAGGCATTAATAATTGGATTATTTTAAATTAACCTGAGAACCTTTGTCTTTTAATAAAGGAGATCATGCCATTTGCTTTGATGGCTATATCTGACTTGGTTTCACTTGTTTTATGATTATCTTTTTTCCTTTGCTCCACCCTTCTGGGTTGTTTAATTTCATCAAACAAAATTTCAGTTGTTTGATGCATGGACTCTTTTCTTTGCCTTTCCATTATCCTCCAACATTCAATTACTTTCCAACATCCTCCATTGTTTTAGACAGTGTATAATATATATTTCTCTAAATGTTATAATCAAGCAGGAAATGATATTTTCATATCTATTACCATTGAAAAGGGAGTTTAACTCAGTGCTCCTCAAACTTGAACATGTATAAGAATCATCTAGAGAGACTGTTGTGGGTCCCACCCAGAGGTTCTGATTCCATAGGCCTGGCGTGGGACCTACGAATTTCTGTTTGTAGTAAGCTTCCAGGAGATGCTGCTGCTCGGAGGGACCGCACTATGAGTAGGACTGGTTTAACCCACCTTTACTGTATCCCTCACTATTCCTGCCTTCTTGTGTTTTTAAACTCATTTTTAATATTTTAGAATAATCGTCTTTTGCCTTAATTTTTACAATCAGAATTGCAACATTACATATATTTTAAGTTCATTTCAGAGAGGAAGGGAGAGGGAGAGAGAGATCGAAACATCAATGATGAGATAGAATCATTGATTGGTTGCCTCCTGCACACCCCACACTGGGGATCGAGCCTGCAACCCGGGCATGTGCCTTGACCGGGAATTGAACCATAACCTCCTGGTTCATAGGTTGACACTCAACCACTGAGCCACACAGCCAGGCGCAACATTTTAAACTTATTTCTAGTTTATCTGGCTTTAGTATTCAATACTATGAATTATTTCCTCATATTGGAGCCCTTAAGTGTGCTCTACTCAGAGTATAATTTCAAGTAATTTCTTGAAGATGGGTACATAGAAGATATAGTATGTTTTTGAGATCTGGCTTTTTCCTTTACACATAAATCACAATTTGTCTAGATATAAAATTCTTAGATTACAATTTTTCCCCTTCAAAACGATTTCATTATCTTTGGCATTTAGTATTGCAGAAAAGACTGAGGCATGTCCATTTTGGATTCATTTGTATATAACTTGCTTTTTTTTATTTTTAGATGGCCCTATAATTTTTTTTATATGTATAGTTTTGACAATTCACTAAGATCTATTTAGTTAGGAATCTCTTTATACTGACTCTACCTGACATAAGACGAGCCCTTAAACCTTCATACACAGGCCTTCACACAGGCCTTCCTTCAGCTGAGCAAATTTTTCTTCTATTATATCTTCACACCTTTTGTCCCACTGGTACAATATCATCAATGATCTGGAACTGGTTCCCCATTCTCCATGTTTATCATGTTTTCCTCTAATTATCTCATCTGTTCAAATCTGTCCTTCACATCACTAATGCCATTTCCTAGACTGACTCTGCTCTTTACTACCTGCAATGGAAGTCTTAGTTCTGTTATATTTTCAGCTTCTCTGCAATCCTTCCTCATCTCACACTTCTCTCTTTGCCCTTTCATCTTATCCTGTTGCTTTTTCACCATATAACTCCGGGCTCCTTTCTCACAGGGTTCATGCTAGGAACTGTATTGTGTCTTCCACAAATTCAGATGTTCACACCCTACCTCCCAATGTGATGGTATTTGGCCGAAAGTAATCTCAACAGAACCCAACCATACTGGCACTCTGATCTCAGTCTACCAGCCTCTAGAACTGTGAGAAAATAAATTTCTGTTGTTTAAGCTACACATTGTTAAAGCAGCCCAAGACAGGTCATATTTTCTTATAATCAACTGTGGCTGCCAGAGAGAATTTTCATGTAGATTTCGCAGTAGATCATTTTCAGATGTATGCTCTTCCCCCGAGTCTCCTAAATTCTCTTTTTCTTGTGATGTGGAGTTTCATAGTTCCCCATGGATTTATTTATTTATTTATTTATTTATTTATTTATTTTCCAAGTTAAGTCTTCCTTATCCACATATAAAAATCAAATAACCTATGAACAAATCCAGACTTCCTCTGTTTCCGCTGGCACAAATGAACTGTTCTGAATCTTCTCATCATCATGGTAGACCATTACCATGGTAAAAATTCTCAGATCTGGAGCTGGAGAGCAAGCTGACACACAGGACCCCTTAGACCAGCTCCCTCTTCCAGCAGGATGCCTCTGCTCTGCCATGACTTTGGCTTCCTCCTCAAGTACCTAACTCTCTAATTGTTCAGCTGATGTGGATGTGGAAGGCATGCACTGCTACCAGGTTTCTTCCTCTCCCCCCACCTACAATCGCTACTTGTGGCAACTAGCCTTCACAGTGTGCCATGCTGCTACTGGCTCCTCTTATTCTACACTTCATCGGTTTCAGGGTTCTGTGGCATTGGCCTGCTTGCAAGAAGTGTCAGGAGCCCAAGCAGCAGCAGACTTAATTCACAAGGCAGCTCCTGAGTGGTAACAAGGGAAGGCATCACACTATTCTAGCAACCTCACTTCCATAGTGTCAAGCTGGGAGCAGCAGGGAGCGGGGAGGGGGAATAGTAGGGGGAGGGGGGGGAACGGACACGACAAACTCAGTTCAATTTTCTCACTGCAATTCCCTACTCCCTCTGCATCATCTGTGACAATTCCTCCCAGGTCCTAGCACGGGTTGCTGTCAGGCTTAGTCACTGATATATAGAACAAGTTTCATCTTGTTCTGCACCTTCCGGGCAATAGGGACCACTTATTTAATGCTTGCATGTAAGTGTCAAGGACTAATCCCTTTATAAATATAATCTGAGCTAATCTCCATGACAATCCTGAGAGGGGAGTTTTATTGTCATCACTGCATTTTAGAATTAAGGAAATGGTGGATTAGAGAGATTACAGTATTTGCAGGATGTCGCAGGGTGATTAGGCGTAGAGCTGGGATTCATACTTGGGATGGCTCTTAAGCTCTCACTCTCAACTACCCCTTGGCAGCACTGCTCACGTGTGACGCCCTGAGTATGAGCCAGGTGCTGGCTAGACACTTGACCCATTCATCCTGCAGAACAGACCGCGTTCTTGTCCCAATTTACAGAGGAGTCAGAGGAGACTCAGGGGGGTTAAGCAGCTAGTAAACTGGTGACGCCAGCATTCAACCCGGGGCCTGTTGGATTCCACAGCCAACTTTCATAATTATAATGCTAGACAGACATGGAAGGGTAGTGCTATGCTGCGACTCCCTGTCCCGTATCTGTCCTGGAACGTGTCTGATTCACATCTGGATCTCCCACAATCTACCTCCTGGCAGTGTTTGCATTGAGGTTTTCATCATTTTCTTTATCTTCAAGATTATTTTAATGCCACTGTTTATTGAATGTTTACTACGCATATGACAAGCGCGGTGCTAACCACTTTACAGATAGGATCACATCTGCAGTTTCCTGAGAGTTTAAGAGTAAAAATCAAGCAGGGAATTATCCCCTAGGAGGAAGGAGGAAGAAAAGGCATCCAGGGACCCAGCAATGCCTCCCCAGGGCCTGGGACCAAGCGGCTTCACTGTGGTAGTTCCCTCGATTCCCTTCCCTTGGATTTCCACATCCTTTCATTCTATGTCTGAGTGTGTATTTCTGCAAGCTGCCTTCATTCTTAGCGTGGTGAGGCAGAGCCAATGAAGGTCTTCTCTTGCCGGTAGTAAGAAGGCACAGGAAGTACATGTAAATTTTTGAAGGGCTGGACCAGTCTCACGTGTGAGACCCTACCACCAACACCAGTCCATTCTCCAAGCCAAAATGGCCTTCCTAAAATGCAAACTGAATTAAGTCCCTTCCTCATTTAGTAAACTTTTTCGGCTCAGCTCACTCCCCTCAGGATTAGGTCTTTAGGTCTAAATAACTTCGCCCGGTATTCGAGCCTCTCCGAAACCTGAATTCAGAATCGACTGGCCTTTCAATTCCCAGAAAAGTGCTGCTCTCCTGCCTTCGAGGGGATGCAGGGGCTCATTCCCACTCTGGTTCCCCACTCAGAAGCCTCATGGATTCCCAAGGCTGGTCAGGCACCCCTGGCACCCCCAGCCGCCCGTGCTTCTAGGTATGCTGTAACTATTCCTCATTGACCTGCGGGCTCCCTCCCATATTCCCCAAAGGGAGGGCCACATCTGTCTTGCTCACTGCTGCGTCCCCACAACACTCAATACAGGTGTCCCAAAAACAGCAGGTCACGTGCGTGGCTCCTGCCCTCGGGGGTTTCTAGGAGGACAGATTGTCTGCATTTGGCTCCCCTGGACAGCTCCACTGGCTGATGAACCCCTTCAAGTGACAATAACAAGTTATTTTCCGAGCACCTATTATGTACCAGGCACTGTGCTAATTAATAGGTGATTGGTAGCCACGATCTCATTTAATCCCCCAACAAACCTGTGGGGAAATGTCACCCTCATGCCACAGGTGAGGAGCCGAGGCTCAGGACGGCTAACAGACTGCCAGGGCACCAACCAGGTGCTGCCTTCACTGCTCTGACCTTGACCCTGTGCTGTCCTGCTTCTCAAAAGCTAAATCTCAACACTAACTGGCCCATTTGACAGGTGGGCAAAGTGAGGTGCAAGAAGGCCAGTGGCTCACTAGCCAGGCGTTACTGCCGGATGAGCAATGCCACCCTCTCGCAGCAGCGGAACCCACCTTGCCACCCTCAGCCAGCCCCCACCTGTCTCCCCACCCAGCCCCAGCCCCAAGGAGAGGCCCGCATACTTGGCCCGATTTTCTGGAATGGTTCCGGGGGTTCCTCCTTCACCTCTTCAGCGGCCACGACGCCTTGGTCGAAGGGGTCTGCGGGAGAACACGCGGCCCTTAGTGCCCTGGTCACCAGGCCTCGGGAGCCTAGCTGGGGACCAGGGAGGTGGCCAGCCACCAAGTACTTACCTGCCCGATTCTCGGGGGCCCCTTCCACACTAAACACTGCGCCGGGGCAGGAGGCAGCAGCCGCAGGAGGAAAAAAGCAAACAGGAGCCCTGTTAGTCCCCACCCACAGCTGCCTCTGCCCGCCGCTCCCAGCCCCCGTCCACGTGCACTTGCCCTTTCAGCCTAGGGGCGCGGCCCTGGCCAGTGTGCAGGCCCAGAAAACCAGCGGCCACAGGAGGGTGCGTCCCAACCAGGACACAGCCTGTGTCTCCACGCCTCTCCCTCCCACGGCAGGGCCCAGCCCAGGGGGGCAGACATTCTGTCTGCCCTGTTTCTGGATCATCAGCACCCAGTTGAGGGCCAGGGCAGGAGAAAAAGAGAGAGAGAGATCGGGAGGAGAGGAATAAGGAGGCGAGAAGACGTATGAGCCAGTAGGTGGGAAGCTGGGTTGTCACAGCTGGAGATGGGCTGGGGGTATGCGGCTCCAGAGGGAGCCCCCAAGATCCTCCCAGACCCAAGGCCCTATTTCTAGGATTCTTCCGTTTCCAAAAACAAATCACCTAAATTTATTGTTCTAATTCCTAACTCTATAATCTAAGACACTAAAATACCATCGTTCATTTTTAAAAATTGGTTTAATTTCACCAGAGCATGTGAATACTCAATATGAAATCAGATAATAAATTGATATAAAATTGTGGGTATTCGACTGCTTTTGATTTACAAAGCCGGCAATTTCACTTGGGTTCCCCTACTCTAGTGATGGCGAACCTATGACACGCGTGTCAGAGGTGACACGCGAACTCATTTTTTTGGTTGATTTTTCTTTGTTTAATGGCATTTAAATATATAAAATAAATATCAAAAATATACATCTTTGTTTTACTATGGTTGCAAATATCAAAAAATTTCTATATGTGACACGGCTCCAGAGTTAAGTTAGGGTTTTTCAAAATGCTGGCACGCCGAGCTCAAAAGGTTCGCCATCACTGCGCCTACTCAGAAGTATGTATGGAGTGTGACGGGGACCTTTTCTCCCCAGGATCCTCAGGGGTTGGGCACGTCCCTCATGGTCTGGCTGCCGCATGACCTTCGTCTGGGCAGGCGGAGGGCAGGGAGGGGCCAGGTAAGCGGCCCTGGGTGGGGGTCTCTCTATGGGACTCACTCCCCAGGAGTGAGGGGCCTGGCTCACCATCCACGGCGTGCAGGTCTCGGTGCTCTTGGAAGCAGCTGTAGTACTTGTACTTCTTGCCGCAGATGTCGCACGTGTACCTGAAATTGTCTGTGGGGGACGGAAAGACAACACGTGGTCACCAGGGCTTCAGTCACTTGGGGTGGAGTTTTGGGGGCCAGCTCATCTGCTTCAGGAGCCAAAGAAAGGACTAGCTCAGATGGACCCCAATGGGTGACTCCACAGAGAATCAGTTCTGGGGTGTCAGGGTCCTCTACACAGGCAGACCGGGAAGCCCTGAGGTGACTTTCAAACCAACCCCCAATCCCACCTCCTGTGAGCTGAGCTCCTAAGGGCCGGGTCATAACTGGTCCCACCTTCCTCCGTATCCACTAGTCCTTGCATCTGAGGGTTACTACGTCCTCACAGGGGAACTGAGGCTCAGAGGGACCTGCCCCAAGCCCCACAGCCCCAGAGATGGCTCCCAGTGACCCCGGCCTCCTGGTGTTCATGTCCTGTGTGTTTCCTTCCCCTGGAGTCTGGGCAGGACCCAGCGACTTGCTTCTAATGAAGAGAAGGCAGTGAAGTGACGGAACCACTCTGGGATCAGTCAGAGGACATGACCCGTCCGGCTCACACCATCTGGCTCTTGTTAGCAGATGTGCTGTGAGCTGCCCCGTGGAGACCAGGGGGCAGCCTCGGGTGAGCAGCCGGTGGGGTACTGAGGCCCTCAGGCCAAGAGCTTGGGAAGGACCAGTCCTGCTAGCAGCCACATAGTGAGTGTGCAAGAGAACTGGACGTGGAGTTAACCTTTTATTTTCTTAGTTGAGAGACGGGTAAGTGGGTAGATGCCTCTACGTGTGAATGTACAATTTTTCTCACCAATAAATGAAAGATGCCTGGACTAAAGGCGTGAAACCTGGTCTCCGTGCCCACCTCCACCCCCAACAAGCGGTATGACCTCTCTCTGGGACTCAGGAGCCTCATCTGCAGGACGGGAAGGCCGGGCTTGCTATTCCCAATGGGACCCTCTGGCTGCAGGACTCCGTGGCCGGGCTCCCGTGATGAAGCCGGCGTGTGAGGAAGCCGGACTTTCTGAGCAGACACTGCTGGCCTGGGTCAGAGTAGGAAGGGAAAGTGATGGAGGACTAAAAACAGCTCCGGCTACAGAGTCCTTAACAACCTGCGGGCCCGCGGCAAAGGCGGAAGCCAGACAGAACACAACATATCATTGAGAGGCTGCCCGGGAGGCCAGGAATAGCCGAGGGAGGAAAGATAAACGGGGAAGTTCTTTAAATGGGTGGCTGACCACAGGCAGACCGTGGGAGCCGGAGGAGAAGGGAGCTATAGGGAGAAGGAGCCAGGGGTCAGGCTGAGGCGGGGCTGGGGAGGAGGGCCAGGCCTTCGCCTCCTCCCAGCCCTGGGCCCTCTGGCAGGTGCTGGCCAACCTGAGCCTCAGATTCTCCTCCAATGAAAGGAAGAGTAGCCTCAGGCCTGCCTGCCTATCACAAGGGTAAGAATCAAAAGAGCGGATGGGGAAGTGCCTCAGGGGGCGTGTTCCCAGGACCCAGTGTTAGTGCGTTAGCCCCAGGCACCTGTTTTGGATTTTTCCTGGGGGGGTGTGTTTATATTTTAAGAAGCTTTTGATGGTGGTCTAACAAGCACATAGATAGAACAGGAGTTCCTATCTGAGCTGCACGCAGAGATGAGCAGTTGTGACAGAGGCGTCCGGTGGCCTGCAAAGTCTAAAACGTTTACTACATGGTCCCCTACAAAAAGTGGGGTACAAATCCTAAGTGCACAGCTTGTTCAGTCTCTGTAAACCCAAAACACCTGTGTGACCAGCGCCCAGCTCAAATATCACCCCCAGAAGCCCGTCCTAACGGTGACCAGGACGCTGACTCTTCCAGCATGAACTCGCGTCCCCAGTTTTTGCATGTCCTGTACGCAGACCTAAGGAGGGACTCTTGTCCCGGCTTCCTTTGCGAATATTGTCTGTGGGTAATGCACGCTGCTGTGTGTAAGTCTCTATCTCCGTTTCTCCATGCTGTGCCTGCAGTCCTTCGCGTGAACGCACCGTGACTCATTTACCCCTTCAACCTACTGGGCGCTCACTCGGGAGGTCCCCAGTTTGGAGCGGTTACACACAGTGCTGCTAAGAGCATCCCAGTTCCCATCGCAGGGTGGACATGCGCACACACTGCTGCTGGGGATACACCTGGGGTGAAGCCACTGGGCTCCGAGGCTCGGGGCTGTTGGGGAGGGACAGTTGCGGCCCAGCCCACAGCCTTCTGCTGCTGTTACCAGGCCCGGGGGTTTAGACGTGGAGGGAGGGCAAGCAGGGCCTGTGAGCAGCAAAGCAGAACACTGTCCCCAGAGGTCAAGGCCCTGCACAGCCCGGGCCTGGGACACCGGACCCCAGTGATTGGTGCCCACGGGAGCTCATGAGATAACTCTCTGGAGCAGGAGCCCCCACACATTGGCTATGGAGCCCCAGACCACAATGGGAGTCAAAGAACATAGGCACCTGCCCCCGCTGGGCCCTCCTGGAAGGGCCTGGGCGTACCTGCCAGCGAAGGGCTCGGGAAGTCTACAGCAAGAAACCCGTTCTTCTACGCAAGGCTCAAGGCTTCCCTGGGCTGTTTGGCCAGAGAACCCTTTCCTGACAGGACACTGAGTATGTCTCGGAACACACTTTGGGAAAGGCTGTTCGGAGTTACCATCTTACAAGTTCATAAGGACCCGCTGGTCCCAAAGCCTGTACCATAAGAAATGTGTCTCCCAGAAGCCACATGGGACCTCCTGGTGATGGGGGCTTGGGGGGATGAGAGCATCTCCTTCCACCCC